AATAATATTGTACAATACGATATGTTATATGTCTGTGAGAGGCTTAGGAGCACAAGTGTTAAAATATCATTTACAAAGTTGTCTCCCTTTCCTGTATCTGGAGCTGGTGGTCATGGGTTTGAATCCATGTCTACTGTCATCTTCAACCTACATCGACCTGCATCAGTTTAAACTTTAAAACATTTAAACTTTAAACTGATGCACTATTATATCACTAAAATAATGTTCAAATTATATTAACCCACCTCACTGTCAAATGTATTTCTGTTCATCACTGGATTGTCTGGTCCAGAATCAATTACTTACAGACCGCCGCCATATAGCTTGAATATTGCTGAGTGTGGTATAAAACTAAACTCACTCACTCACTCAATTGTATCTCCAAACAAAAGTATGTGAAATGTGAATGGCTTCCTGCTCTGCCTGTCAGTCAGTGTTGACACAATTTATGAAATGTACACGAAATTAACGTACAACGCCAGTCTTCATTACTTTGGTATTATCCTTGTCTGGGCAGTTCATCAGTGCTGCCTCAGGTTTCATAAATCATTATATCTGTAGCCCTGGGTCCAGCTGCGGACATGCATGAGCATTGTACATGAAATTAATGACGGTTGAAATATACGTGCCTGTCAATTTCACTCATTCAGGACATGTGTCAATAGTAATGAGCGACTTTGAGTGAGTTTTGTTGTACACCTCTGTTAGCAATATTCCACCAATATTACTGCAGGGGACACCAGAAATGGGCTTCACACATTGTACCCATGTGGGGAATTGAACCCGGGTCTTCAGCGTGGTGAGCGAATGCTTTAACCACTTGGCTACCCCACTGCCACGTCAATAGTAATGTACAAGTTTGATCAAAGACACTGTTATAATGCCAAATGTGTGTATTTGGTATTGAGTCATGTTTGTAAGAAAAACTTCAACTTTACCCTTATCATTGATGAAACTGGAAACTCTTTTTGGAATTTTTTGTAAAAATAAATGAATTGAGAATTCCATTCTCTACACCCAAAAATGTATACTATCCAGGATATCTTTTGGAAGTTTTTCATGTGGAAATGTCTACATTAAGGTACATCAATCTTTAACTATAACCCTTTGAAACATAATTTTCAAATATTGTATGGGACAATGAGGGTATTCAATTTGACCCGCCTTTCTATAGAGCTGTGTAGTGTGTACAGCTGGTCAGTCTACCATGATAAGGCTTTCTTATAATGAGTGTTAAATATTGAGATTGAATTTCATACAATGTTTGGCTTGAGTTTCACACAATATTGAGGCAGAGTTTCATACCAGTGATATGTCAGGTATGTCTTCATACAGGCAGTGACAGACAGTAGCTGTATACATTATGTATAAGGTGATCACTCACAACCACGCGTCGGCCAGCTTCCCTCAAGGGATTTGTAATGCTGTGGTGAATATGAAAATCTTTATGAAACACAGTGTGAATGAAGTATGTGCATGCATTGAGAAATGGCAAAGAATGTGTGTGTTATTATTCTGAATTAATGTTCCTCATGAATATCTATATGTATACAACCCATGGTGAAGTGTTGTATAATTTCAGTTTTAGCCTCTGGTTACCTTTTAGGTAGGCCACAGGATCATGTAACTATTTCTAAGCTGAAGACGTGGCCAAAGGCTGCGAGTTTGTTTTTGAATATTTGTGACAAGGTCTGTGGATTTAAGAGACATATACCAGGCTCTGAGCAACTTCTGTTTGTTGTAGGATGTGCTAATGTGGATTGGGTGGTCAGATCTTGTTTATTGTATGTCATTTAAAACATGTGAATCCATGTAACTAATTCTAAGTCAAAGAACAGTCAAAGAACAGACCAAAGACTGCGAGTTTGGTATAGAATATTTGTAACAAGGTCCATGGGTAGAGACATATACCAGACTCCGAGCAACCTCTGTTTGTGTGGTGATGACTATGTGGATTGGGTGGTCAGATCCTGTTGCTTGTATGTCATTGAAAACATGTGAGACCATGTAACTATTTGGAAGCCAAAGAACAGACCAAAGACTGTGAGTTTGTTATAGAATATTTGTAACAAGGTCCATGGGTAGAGTATGGAGGTTGGGTGGTCAGATCTTGTTGATCGTATGTCATCCAACACATGAGGCACCAGAGACAGTAAGGAGACTGAAATCTGTGCTGCAGCGATGGCTGAGGGAGAACCAGTGCAGCGAGGAGTTGATGTTACATCACAGGATGGAGTAGTGACCACAGGGACTTGTTCTGTAAAAACGGTGGTGGTGGGGTAGTGGTGAAAGCGTCCACTCGTCACGTCGAAGACCAGGGTTCGATTCCCCACATGGGTACAATGTGTGCGCATTTCTGGTGTCCCCAGCCATGATATCTAGACTTGCCACTTATTCTAGACTTCCATGGGCATTCTTGAATATATTTGTTTCAGGGTCTGTATGACAGACTACAGTGATTCCCAAAGTTCACGGAAGATGCTAGTTTGCAAAGTATTGCTTCAATATTCGTCATCTATGTCTCATTTTGTAGCTAAGTTTTGTTTCTGTGTTTCAAGCACCTATAGTCGTGACTGTCAGAGTTACCTGACAATGATGGAGTTTTTTAAACTGCACTGGGATGAGGGTGATTTACCTGGAGTAATAAATTTATACAACAGTGGTGACAAGCCTGATATATAGGCATTTAGTACTGAGCAATAAATGTGATATATTTGAGTCTGTCCCTGTGTGTAAATCATGTGTGCAGCTGCTGTTGTTTAGCTTCATTCAGATCAAGCGTATTCAGTGCACACATCACATGCTTGTCAGTCACTTACTGCTTGTAATGTGATCGGTGTGTTGATTACATGATTACCGGTAGTATCATTCACAGCTAAATGTACTTCACACATGACACTACTGGGGTTGTTAGTGCTGGCCCAATACAAACAGTATTGACGGAGAAGCGTTTCAGGAAGTATCACACTGATAGGGATGCAGTTTCTGATGATGCATCACTTTTATATGTGTCATGCATCCACTGGAAAACAATGGTGGTCAGCTGGTCAGTGCCTCTGATTGATCGGTCAGTGTGGAAAGGTTAAGGAACTTGATGAGTATATGCACTGCTTGACCAGATATGGACGTGGGCATGTTATCTGAATGGCTTGATCGCGATCCATGTCATAAAAGGTTAAATCTCTCTGGACAGGTTTTAGGAAGTGTTGATCAAATCTTGATCAGTCATGTAATTATTAAGCTGTGAGTCTTTGAATCATGCAGATTGTCATGCTTTTCTTTCTTACCGTCCTTTCTGAATCTTGTTAGCCTGCTTGAGATCGACACCCACACACCACCCCGACCCAGACCCACACCACAACCACCCACCCTTGGCATAGTTCTTGCACACACACACCCCTTAACCCCTAAAACAACCACCTCATGCTTTCTAGATCTACCACCTAATCAATGACTTACTACCTCAACTGAGATCAAACACCCTAATCAATTACCTCAACTTCCCCACCCTAAATCTACCACCCAAATCAATGACTCTCTCAGCCTAATGCCACATCTATTAGTCTGTCTAACAGTCCCTGAACCACATTATTTCCCCTACTGCCCAGCCCTCCCTACCATACTAAAGCCCTAAATGAAGCAAGTCTAGACTTCCTCAGGTTCTGAATCTCCCATCTCACTGGGGCTCCTTTTAAATTTAAATGGATTTATTTGTTACTTCAAAATTTTATATATTTAGAGACTAAGTGTTAGTCTACACATCTACCACTCTAATCAATGACCCCCACTACCCCACCCTAGATCTACCACCCAAATCATTGATTCTCTCAGCCTCATGCCAGATCTACCATCACTATCCCACCCTAGATCTCCCACCCACCCAATCATTGATTCTCTCAGCCTCATGCCAGATTTACCATCACTACCCCACCCTAGATCTACCACCCAAATCATTGATTCTCTCAGCCTCATGCCAGATCTACCATCACTATCCCACCCTAGATCTACCACCCAAATCATTGATTCTCTCAGCCTCATGCCAGATCTACCATCACTACCCCACCCTAGATCTACCACCCAAATCAATGACCCCCACTACCCCACCCTAGATCTCCCACCCAAATCATTGATTCTCTCAGCCTCATGCCAGATCTACCATCACTACCCCATCCAAGATCTACCACCCAAATCAATGACCCCCACTACCCCACCCCAGATCTACCAACTCTGCACCCTAACAACCACCACCCAATCACACATTAAATCTAACCCCCAACACCAACCCTCAACACTAACCCTCAACACTACCCACCACCCCTATCTCACCCACTACCCTGTCACTCCCACTACCACCACCATCACACTGATGACACTGAATCAAGTCTATATTAACAACAGTACATGCAATCACAATGATATTTACTTCCTGGTTAGAGAGCCATGGCGTCAGCTTCAAACAGTCAATTGTAAATATCCGCTGGGGCGTATATCCGGGTACACTCACATGGACCTACCGAGTTAGATCCTGTCAGTCCTTACCCCAGATACCACACCTCCTACAAACACACAAGGTAATGTAAACTGCTTGCGAAATTCACGACTTTATTGAGCAAAATGTAAGTTGGAATTGTTAATATACACTGTCAATCATGAAACTGGCGAGTCCCGTCATGTCAAGACTGTCAAGCTGTACAGGTACCTGGAATGAGGTCAGGCACGATGTCTATTCAGGAAAGCAATATCACAGTGTTACTCATGCAGGCTTGGGTTTCCCAACATTTAAGCATACGTAGTTGGTTGAATTCAGTAGTATAAATGACAGATATTAACGAGGTCGAGGTTTAGTAGGTGAGGCATGCTCTCCATGACAACAATGATATGCATTACATGTGAGTCTGTTTGATGAGTAGAGGGGGACTTAACAGATGGTTTGTGACGGCATGTGATTCTCATATTACCTGACTCTGTACTTGTGGATAAACTTTTGTATCACGATTCAGGTACGACTTGGATGACTTAAGACATACAAAGACTGGAGAAGAAACCCAAAGTCTTGCAGTCAGCGTCAGTGTTTGAAAAACAATCTCAGGTTGGTAAAGATATTTCTTGACTTTTTCTCAGTATTAACCTTCTACCTGAATCAATTTATACGATTTGGGTCAGCATTTCAGTTATATAGTAGCATGTTACTTTACACATTTTTAAGTAACATTTTCCACTTTGCTGAAGGGGCGGTGGGGTAGCCTAGTGGTTAAAGCGTTTGCTCGTCACGCCAAAGACCCGGGTTTGATTCCCCACTGGCGTACAATGTGTGAAGGCCATTTCTGTTGTCCCCCGCCGTGATATTGCTGGAATATTGCTAAAAGCGGCGTAAAACCATACTCACTCACTCACTTTGCTGAAACTCTGAAGCACTGCCGTGGCACCTGACATGCTGAATGAATGAGGATTCTGTTACGAAGTCCTTAGACTCACATATGGTCTCTAAAAGGATCATACTCTACCCATCAAAAAGTTTAGACTCACTTAAAACACTCACTATAGGTTATATATATAATAACGAGGATTGATTTCTCCACTAACTTTGGGGAACCAACTGCAAACCTTATGCAGATGAATTGCACGAGGATCATGCATCAAATTGCTGAAAAGCATGTGCAAATATCGTGCATGTGAACAGCAGCGTTTGGTTAAGGATTTGCCAATTTGCCAATGAATTTCATCATTTATTAAACTCTTGACAATCATCTTTTCAACGTTTCGAATTTGTTTGACATTACATCAGTTCATGTGTAAACAGTACCTTCAAACAATATTTTGCAAAATCTAGTTTAAAACAGTTGACTGACGTAAGTGGCTACATTTAGACAAGTGAGTCTAAACTGTTTCAATGCAATATTCTAGACTTGCCACATAATATTCTAGACTTGCCACATAATATTCTGGACTTGCCACATAATATTCTAGACTTGCCACATAATATTCTGGACTTGCCACATAATATTCTAGACTTGCCACATAATATTCTGGACTTGCCACATAATATTCTAGACTTGCCACATAATATTCTAGACTTGCCACATAATATAACTTGTATGGGCTTTTTTAGTAATATATGTTTAACGGTCTGTATAAGGAAAACATTGTTTATTTAGAAATATATTTCACTTTGTGCCACAATTATGATGAAAAACACTTCACCTCAAACTTGGAGGTAAGTTTTCTAATTAAACAGTTTGGCCCATGACCTAGTATGACAGACTAGGTGTATGGTATACAGATGTATCTTATACTGCTTAGAAAACAGACACATATTGCAATTTTCTGTGTCCACACTTATAGAATGAAATGCAAGGTAAATCTAATAATTAATTCATCATGGTCTAACTGACCTTTATGTTTATAGGACTTTTTATCACAGAACGTTGAGAATAAAGAGCCTTTGTTAAGTGACCTTTACGTGGTGAATGCATATTTCATCAGTTGAAATTGACAAGGTGAGGTGAGGTGAAATTGGGTTTAACGTCGTGCTTGAGAATATTTCGCTCATATGACGACGTTGAAATTGACAAGGGTTGTCAATTTCTTGTATATTACATGTCATATGTACTAATGATAAAATTGGCTCTCTTAACTCTGTCTTAGAGCAAACAGTTGAATAAATTTGAAATGAAATCAGGAACATTGATAATTTGGTAAGTCGTGTACTCTTGTTCTGCATAAAACAAGAACTGTATTAACGAGTGAGTGAGTTTAGTTTTATGCTGCACTCAGCAATATTCCAGCTATATGACGGCGGTCTGTAAATAATCAAGCCTGGACCAGACAATCCAGTGATCAACAGCATGACCATCGATCTGCGCAATTCGGAACCAATGACATGTGTCAACAAAATCAGTGAACCTGACCACCCTATCCCGTTAGTCGCCTCTTACGACAAGCATGGGTTACTGAAGATCAATTCTAACCCGGACCTTCACAGGTTTATTAACAAGTAAAAGAACAGGTTTGATTGATGTTTCTGTTGTTGTTCTGAAACGGCACCCACTTTGTTTTCCTCGAACAAAACAACGAAATGAACATTTGAATACCTTTTCGGTAAAAGAATGTATTCAAAGTACTCGAGAAGTCTAAGTTCCTTGTTGATAGAGTATACCCACAGACTCCTGAGAAGGTATGTCGGTGAAGTCCGTTTAAGACATTAGCATCACAAAGAGAACGGGGACTGTGCAGTTCACGTGAACACTGGATTTAACCACCCCTCGGTTGATGGATTTCGTGGGGGCTATTGAAATAGACAGTGAACTATGTAGCAAGAATACATTTTCCTAAAGGAGAGTGTTTTCTGAGAACATGCAAGCACACAATACCTTTATTCATGAAATTGATACAGAAATGAAGTTAATGCTAAAAGGTGATATGATTACTGGGGCTGAAACGAATCTCCTCTGAGCGAATATGATATACAAATGTATATCATGAATATTGGGTAACGAATAACAAGTCAGCGGTTGAAGTATATTCATTAAATTCAGTGGAACAAAAACAAGTTTCCTCTTTATAAGCATATGTTGTCGAAGTCTAATTCTGTGAATACTTCAATACTTGAAGTTCTAATGCTTTAACCACTAGGCTGCCCCACCATCCCTGATGATGTTCTTGGAACCAGTTATAGAACAATATCGTAGAGAAAATATAATGCTACCTTTGTCTGCTTGTAAATAATATATTTCAACTCAGGAAACTGAGTTCAGTCATTACAGCTGATGACAGTAAAACTGATTTTGTATTAACAATATTATCATATAGCAAGATTTGAAGACCCCAATAAAGACATGGGGCGGTGGGGTAGCCTAGTGGTTAAAGCATTTGCCCGTCACAACAAAGACCCGGGTTTGATTCCCCACATGGGTACAATGTGTGAAACCAATTTCTATTGTCCCATACCATGATATTGCTGGAATATTGCTAAAAGCGACATAAAACCAAACTCACTCACTCACTCACTCAATAAAGATAAATATAAATATCCTTCCTGGATATATTAGTCATATGTTTGAATCCCAGTTAAAACCAACAATAAACCTTAATCAGCCCAAATACCCTTGTGTTTCACACAGTGGTAAATGTCCAGTATTGTGCATGGCAAAGCTTTCAATCTGTGAATATCTTCACTCCAGTAAACAATAATCAATAACTGACCACTGGTCATTGGATCCAATCTTAGTCTCAACTCCCTGGGGAGGATGCTGTTTGATACATATCTTGATGTGTATAATTCATGTCTGCTATCACTGAACCATTACTTTGTTTATATCAGAAGACCTTGTCTAGTTTGACCCTTGAACATCCGGGTTAGAATTGGTCTTCAGGAACCCATGCTTGTCGTAAGAGGAGACTAACGGGATTGGGTGGTCAGGCTCGCTGACTTGGTTGACACACGTCATCGTATCCCGATGACGTAGATCGATGCTCATGCTGTTGATACTGGATTATCTGGTCCAGACTCGATTATTTACGGACTGCCACCATATAGCTGGAATATTGTTTGAGTGCGGCGTAAAACTAAACTCACTCACTCCTTGTCTAGTTTGTGTTGGGTCCAGTAGCTGAAGGTTTATGTTGTTTTTAGCATTTCTTTGTGACAAGTTAACATGACTCCCTCTTTTCTTGTTAGTTCCTGGGGCGGTGGGGTAGCCTAGTGGTTAAAGCGTTGGCTCGTCACGCCGAAGACCCGTGTTCGAATCCCCACATGGGTACAATGTGTGAAGCCCATTTCTGGTGTCCCCCGCCGTGATGTTGCTGGAATATTGCTAAAAGCGGCGTAAAACCAAACTCAGTCAGTCAGTCTTGTTAGTTCCTAGCAATACATTTTTTCTGCTATGAGACAAGGATCGAGACGCACTAACCAGGAAGTGAAAGGACATTGTTTATTACTTATTTCTTTTCTGAATGTAGGCAATTACAAAATCATTAAAAAATAAGGAAGTAAAAACAAGGGTCTGTAGAACCTAATTATTCACTCAGAACCATTACTGTCTCTGTATCCGAACATCCTTGTTCAGTCTGTATTGGGTTGAATTATTTATTCTTTTGGACAAATTAAGTACATACGTTTCTTTTATTCACGTGGATTACCTAATTTTGCAGCCATAAGTTTTTATGCTATAATGAGACGAGATGCTTGTGATTCAGTAACAGGGAAGTGGAAGGACATTGTTCATCACTGTTTTTCTAAATATGCTTATTGTTGGTAGGTACAAAATCATTAAACATTAAGGAAGTAAAAATGAGGGTCAGTAGAACCTGAATGTTTACCGTGTGTCAGTAAAGCGACATAGTTGGTCCCTACCTGTGAAGATACGGTTAGAATTGGTCTTCAGCAACCCATGCTTGTCGTAAGAGCAGTGTGCGAAATAGCCACTGGCCCACTAGCCTGTAAAAATCCATTCGGGCCAGTAAATCTCCCCAGTCACTGGCCCGACTGACTGGTGAATTTTCAAGGGGTCAATTTGTAAATATATCACTCTCCGACTTGTTAAGTTATAATACATCTTTAAATCATCCAAAATTATGGCCTGATGTTCATTATAATGCTGAAACCCGTGTTTTATTTTGTGGGCTAGTAACTTTCAGGCATAGCTAGCCCGACTGTCTAGCAAAATTTTGAAACTTTTTCGCAACTGCGTAAGAGGCGACTAACGGGATCGGGTGGTCAAGCTCGCTGACTTGGTTGACTCATGTCATCATATGCCAATTGTGTAGATCGATGCTCATGCTGTTGATCACTGGATTGTAGTCGGCTGGGAAGGTTTGATATGACATCTCATGTATTGTCATCACTCATTTCTCAGTGAGTTTCCACTCTGAGATATTTCACATTTTGCTGTTTCACTGAAATAACTGATTGCAATGATACATTTCTTACATGTGTCACAAGCGGTTATACAGTTTTTTTAGCTGGACGTTTGTGTACTCCCCCTCAAAGATACAAGCTAATAAAGCTGATGCACCCCACATGTCGCTAGTGACACCTATAGCTCACTGTGGGAATTATGTTAATTTGTGGGAAGATCTGCAAGCGTGGTG